TAAACAGGGATGCGGAACAGGCCAGAAATAGCCTGTTCCTCACGAGTTTGAGCAGGAGCTGCAGCTGCAGCCCCTGCCTCCCTTCGGCAGGCTCAGGAGGCACACCCGGTTGTGCATAGGAAGTTCCCATGCACTTCACGGGWAGGYAGTTCAGTAGGCACAAGGTAGTCTTCAGGATTTCGGCCGCAGCACTCAGGAGGAGCGCTGCAGTAGTCTTCAGCGCTAGGTRGTATTAGCGCTAGCTGTAGTCTTCGGCGCTGGGCGCCATAGCTGTAGCTGTAGTCTTCAGCGCTAGGTGGTATTAGCGCTAGCTGTAGTCTTCGGCGCTGGGCGCCATAGCTGTAGCTGTAGTCGTCAGCGCTGGGCGCTGGTAGGTGGTAGATCGTAGAGTGGGAGAGAGACTGGCGGAGGCCAGTGTTACTTACCTGTGGCGCCATCGCTCCAGCTCCATCTTCGTGGTACCTGCATCAAGRCGCCAACTTCACAGGTTAGTACTGGACACAGAGAGAGAGAGAGTTCTTCTTCTTCCTCTTCTAAGTCCACCTTCCCTTCTCACCCTCTGGCCACCTGACTTCTCAGACTACGACAGAGAGAGACAGAGTTGTGACTTGAGACTTGACGACATTGGATCCAGACTTGACATTTGGGATTCAGACATTTCGACGAGGGACTATTTGGRCTTGTGCYGAAGACTTGGTGTTGACGACATTCCCATCTYCCCCCTCCTCTTCRTCTATCCCCTTCCTCTTCGTCTGTGTATGGTATGGGCTGGCGCAGTCTTCCTGTGTGAAGCGCCAGACCCATTTCACACCATGTAACGATGACGATGATGTATGTTCACGGCTGCATTGCAACATTGATTGTTCGGATCACTGGTATCTAAGTTTTCCGTTGTGCTATCTTATACTTTGTATTGAAAGGTCGGTTCTTGTTCTGGTCTGCACGTTACAGTATGCAACACTCACAGACAGACAGAAAGAGGCAGACAGACAGACAGACAGACAGACAGACAGACAGACAGACAGACAGACAGACAGACTGACAGACTGACAGACAGACAGACAGACAGACAGACAGACAGACAGACAGACAGACAGAAAGATTGACAGACAGGCAGACAGACTGACTGACTGACTGACTGCCTTTGGAATGCAGCAACACGGACAGACAGAGAGGGAATTCAAAGCAGGGGTTACGATCCTGATTTAACTGGGTGACTGGTTGATCGAGTGGTTCTTATCGCCTGGTTCAAAATTTGAAAGATGTTCGCTCTGTTTTCCATGCAAAAGGACCATGATGTTGTTGGTGTCCCCAACTTCTCTACCTTCCACTCTATTGTTTGAAAGATTTCCGATATCGAAAATGTGATGGGAAAAGTACAAGACCTCAATGAGTCATTTCCTGTTTGCCTGAGATAAAAGACTCAGGGATATTCTGCATCTCCATCATGATGCTATAGGTCGCCCAGATCATGGGGCCAGAATAGCCACTAGATGTATTATGGTCGTGCATGTGAGCCATAGGCCGACGTTAACGCACATTAATCCCCTTTTACATCTGCGATAAATGGGAGAAGAGTCACTGCCAGAAGACTCCTGTGCCCGAGTGTCATTACTTTGGGCTCCGGAGTCCCATTCCCATCCCCTTCTTCAATCTTGTAACATTCTGACCCTCACTCTTCTCTCCGTTCGGCGCTTTTCGGGTTCCATCCGCCAATTTGTATGTTGCCCTACAAGGGGGGCCGGAAGCGAACCAGGGGATATAGCCAGGGACCACCACCTCTTGTTTCACGAATGGACCAAGCTGGATGCGTCTATCCTGTTGAGGCCATGCGAAGACTTCCCAGACCTGTTTCCCCCTTCTTCACGATGTTATGTGAAATTGAGCCGGTATGAAATGGAATGAGGGTTTGGAAGGTTGAATAGGTGTCAGGGTCATGGACCTCGGAGTACGCAAACAGTGGCGTGTCCACACTACGGACAAGGGTTTCAGGGTTTAAGGGTGTAAGGGCTTAAGGAAAAAGGGTTTAGGGTTTAAGGGCGAAGACCACCAGTAAGGCCTCATGCGCGGGGATATTCAGAAGGAGAGAGGGTTGGGCAGCTAGTGGAAAAGTGCAGTTCTGGCGGCCTATCTGGGGCCGAAGAGGTTCCTCCCCTCTTCCCCCCTCTCCCTGCATAACTCACTCAACACAATATCATTTACTCTTTGTATAACAGGGATGCTGGACACGTTTCCCAGCAGGGGCAGCTCCCCACCAATAGATGGAGCCTCCCGAGACAGCTAGAAGTGATTGCTTGCCTATATCAACACCTCTACCTGGTCGGCGAGCTGTTTCCAAAAATAAATAAATAAAAAAAGAAAAGTTTCCTGGTGAGAGGGCGATTCTTGGCCAACAACGAATTGACACAAGGTATTCAAATTGATTTCATCATTTTCTTTTCTTTGGCTTTGTTTATTTATTTATTTAGAGTAAAGACCCAGCGACGTTGGCTTTAAAGTTTAAATATATTCAAATGGATTGCCGTTTTTTGAACTTTTTTTCTCCAGGACCTGCAATCTTTGCTGTTGCTTGTGTTGCCCTCGGTTGACTGATCTATTGAATTGCTGTTTTTTTTTCGATCTGAACTTGGTTCATATAGTCGTTGGTTTAATGTCATCTAGTGACAATCTACAACTGAAAAAATAAACAGAAGAGTTCTTTTAGAAAAATGGTGTTTAACACATCTACCAGGACGAAAACCAAACACTCTCGTGCACCCATAGGAGCAGTGAGGCTTGCATAAATCACGTACAGCTCGTCATGTGCAAGTCGCCAAGTCGTGATGCAGCTGTGTTTTTTCCCCTTTAGGAGGATCACACACTTTCCATCACCCTGCAACAGGACGGCATTCCCCCGATGCTCGACAGAAATCCAATTTTCATTAGACTCATTACATTGCATGGTAACTGCCCGGACGTCCGGACCGGGTTCCAGGCAGTCAGGTGTCCAGTGTCTGGTCCCCATGTCCGGATGGAGGCCCCTGGGGAAAAAATCAAAAAACGAAATGGGGCGGCCCAGGATGTTTGTCGGGTCCTAGACGCCTCTAGAAAAATAACGGGGTGATTTTTAAGTGTCCTTTCACCCCACCGGACATGGCCTAGAGGTCCAGACACAAGACACTGCAGATTTTTGAGGTGGCGGGTTTCGCACCTGTCTCTTATACACATCTAGATGTGTATAAGAGACAGGCCCTAGAGGTCCAGACACAAGACACTGCAGATTTTTGAGGTGGCGGGTTTCGCACAGGCCCGAGCAATTTCAAAGCGGCCGTTTCGACGTGGCGCCCGCCGCTGCTGCCCGTTGGAGAGAGAGAGAGAGAGAGAGAGAGAGAGAGAGAGAGAGAGAGAGAGAGAGAGAGAGCACTGACAGTGCTACCAGTCTGAAGACTCTGACGTTCTGAATTGAACTGCAAAGTTCGAACTTTTAAGTTATATATGAAGTTATGAACTTAAATTACTAAATCCAAAGTTCAAAGTTCAAAAAGTTAATCATACTTTTTTCAAAAAAGAATTCTCTGTTTCTTTAGTGTGCCTGCTTTGCACTGTTTGCAACTCTGCATGTCTGCTAGTTAAATGTGCTGGTTGATTTGCTGCAAGACACGTGCTCTGCTGCCTGAACTACAGAGTGCAAAGCAGGTAAGTGCCTGCCAACACCCCCACCCAACCCCCCACCCCACCTCTGTGTTGTTTTTTTTTTTAGGTCCGGACATTTTTGCATCCGGGGACCGGTCCGGACTGTCCGGTGTCCGATGATGTCCGGATCACCGGACAGTTCGGACCGGTCCAGACACTGGTCCGGAAGACAGTCCGGAAGTGTCCGGTGTCCGGGTCCGGGGTTACCATGTTACATTGTCTCTTCTTTTTTAAGGCTTTTTCCCCTCTTTTTTAACAAAAGGCGAAGACTGACATGATGTGACATCCAATCGTAATAAGGCTCATTAGGACATTGTCTTTTCTTTTCATTTCTTAACAAAGGGCGATGACCTGGAGAGTTATTTCTACTCATCCAGTTGAATTGACTGGCCCCATGTAAATTCAGAGGTAGTTCTACTCATCTGATTCCATCGGTTTCATACTCAGGTATGATTGTAGGAGCTGAGCTTCAAAATGACAAGTTTGCACTTTGCGTACCTTCAAGTTGCATGTACGATGGATCTAAGCAGCACGGCTATTTGCCAAAGCCTCTGGATTTCTTTTGAGTTCTCTTTCTTTGTTTTCTTTTTTTTTTCTCTTTTTTTTGTAATGTCGTTCAACTGGACTCGAATTTTGGTCTGTATTTCAACAGTTCAAGGGTATATGCAAGGAATATGAGCGAGGGCGATAGACAGAAATCCAAATTGCAAAATCACACTGTACTCCAGATAGTCATGTACCAAGCAGAGAGCACAATGCACCAAGATACCATCCAAATAAGAGCAATACAAGGAACTCAAATGTCAATGACAACGCTCTCTGGCCACAACACCATAGTATCCAATGTCACTCCTACTGATTGGCGCCCAGCGCTCAGCCTTCACTATTCAGCCTATCTAGCCTATCTATGTTCATGCAACAGGAACACATCGACTTTGGAGACCAATGTACGTGACGTCATACACCAATGCAGACTGTCATCATACACCAGGTACCTGTCTCACACCTCTCCTCATCACCCCCTGTCTCCCCTCTGTATGCGCCGCCTACCCGAAGACCACCATGCCAACACCTTGCATGCGCCCAGCAGCCCGGCTATGGCCGCCGTGTGCCATCGCCGCCACCGCAGCTCCCAATCACCTCCGAGCGCCCGCATGTGCCCCAGCCTGCCAGACCTCAGGCGACAACGCAGCAGCGTGGCCGCAATGCCCTGGCAGGCCAGAAGACCCCTCGCTGATGTGCTCACTTTTCTTTATGGAAAGTGATCCCTGCTTGTCATGCCTTGGGCCTGGCTGGGCGAGTTTCCAGTAGCTTCCAGCTGGGCCCCAGTATCTGCGCCCAGGCCCAGTTTCAGATACTGGCCTGGGACTCATGCAGTTAGGCACGTCCAGGTAGCCCATGAGGCTACAAGTGTTTGGCGCAATCTCATTGGCTCGTGG